TGGTGCAGCCCAGGAACAGAGTTGAGTATGGACAAGCGGAACCCAGGCATGGGGTGGTGGGGGGACAGGCGGAGCACTGTGCATCCCAGTGGCTGCATGCAGCTGGCACCCACTGCTCCTGGGGTCGCCACAGCCGAGGTGGGGATGAGTTGGGCCAGGGCCCCTTCCCCTCCCCAAAAAGACTTACCTGCTTGAGCGGAGATGGGGGGGAGTGTCTATGCTGATCACATGAGCAAATTTACCTTGCATATAATGAATTATGGGTCTAAATATGCTCATTGCATAAAAGCGAATTCTTGCATAAATTGAGGGAAACCTATACTTGCCATATCCCTCATTTGAGTGGAGTTGTCAGGAGAGAATATGCAGAAGAACTCACAGGGCCACCAGGTAACACTAAAAGGCAATACAGAAACACCAAAAGAATTCAGCCGTACAAAATTTAGTGACACTATATTACACCCTCATTGGATAAACTGTCCAACAAAAACTGAGGTTTTGCATCTTCCATGGTAATTTATAACCAGGAAATCTAACAGAAAACCTCATTTACTAACTGGATTAGATGATGTAAGCTTTATACAATGGGGTAGTTGGCAAACTTTCATGGTTGTCTTCATGACCATTCCTAAGAGACCCACTACTCTGATAAAAAAAACCAACAATCATTCTGAAAAACACCTAATTTACTATAAAAATGATCTGTACAACTATAATTATTCGCCTTCATGCATAGGCAAATGGTTTTTAATAGCATGCTCTATTTGTCCGACAGGACAGCTACACAAGGGGTTAGAACTTAAGTAGCATGGGAGATCTTAATGTCAGTCCCTAAACTCTCTGGAGTTTACCTTTAAAATCTAAGCAGCATTCTTTTGATGTCACCTTTTCCATAAGTAATCTAAAACTACATTGACCACTTTTCTTTTTGTGTTTCTGTATTGAAGCTTATAAATGCTTTTAAGATCAACCTCCTCAGGGAACAGACTCACATCTAATACATTTTATCCACTGGATAATCCTAGCGATTATTAAAGAGCTACACAAAGGATGACAGTCAAAACCAATTTCCTTCTCTTACATAGATTTTATAGAAAATACATATGAAATAATTGGGTAGCCACCTAATCTCTTCTCCACTAATGGACAATTATTCCTGGTATCTTTTACAGTATTTGTCTAGACTCAGTTTCCAGTTTAAAATACTTTTTAATATGAACTCGACCGTGAACATCTGAAGCACCTAACCAGAGACAACATGTTTTAGAAACCTCAAGAATTTCTTCACAGTGATTCACAGAACCATAGAAAATGAGGGTTGGAAGGGATCTCAGGAGGTCATCTAGTCCAACCCCCTGCTCAGACCAGGACCATCCCCAGCTAGATCATCTCAGGTAAGGCTTTGTCTACCTGGATCTTAAAAACTTCTAAGGATGGAGTTTCCACCACCTCTTTGGGTAGCCTGTTTCAGTGCTTTCCTACCTTCTTTTGTACCAGTGCCACATACAGACAGTTGGAAGTACACACCCAGTTGGAAATCTGTGTACTTCCAACTCTGTTGTAGCTGACCACAACACACAAACAGTTGGAAGTACCTGTATGCATGGGCGGATCCAGGATTTTGAAAAGGAGGGTGCAAATGGTGGGGAACATCCTCACATAGAACAGAACAGACATCCTTCTCCAGTTAAAGAGAAGCTCAATGCTTTACTAATACACTAGAGGGCAGGGACTATGGGCATTTATACACATTTTTCTGTCCTGCAATGCGCCGGAGATTCACTGCTTTGGAGTAGACTCAATTAATCCAGTCTGCTTCACACGTGAGCCGAGGTAAACTGCACTACACCATGTGCAGTTGTATAAGTGACAACATGCGCGTCAGCATGCAGAAAATAGCAGCGGTGCGCTTTTGAACTAAAGCACCTCCGATATGTTTTAGTTCAAAAGTGCGCTGCCGCCATTTTCTCATCGCTGATGCGCATTTTGCCACTTATACAACTGCAAGCATGGCAGTGCTGGGTCCTTTTCAAAATGTCTGGCGCTTGCATGTGTAAAAATGCCCTATATTATTACATTTAAGATCAAAGCAAAAACACAAATAACTATTGGAATGTGTGCTAAATTTACTGGACTACATACAAAGATTTAAAACACACAACAAACTAGGCCAAATGTAGTCAAAACAGTCAAGAGATGCTGTGATGTCAGTCCTGGGTTGTGAAATTAAAAATAAATAAATAAATAAATACATCTCAGGCCAAAACAGTCAAATTATTTCTGAATTTCATCCACTGGGCAGAGCCCAGGCATTCAGGTCCACCACCAGCAAGTATGTTCCCTCCCAGACCCTTCAGTTTGGGGGTTTAGATACTCCCAAATCCATGGCAGGCATCTGGCACACAGGAACCAAGCCCTGAGCTCTTGGGGTTCGGATGCCCCTGAATCCTCGTTGCCCTTAGCCAAGAGACCAAAGAAGCAAGATAGGGGGAAATCCCCCATGTGAGATCCTCCCAGTGGGAGGCTAGACTCTGGTAGGGGGGCGCCATCCACAGTGCATCAATTGGACAGGTCTCCAGCCTTCACTACACAATTGCATTCAAGATGATCTGACCTCCCCAGGAAAACCTGAAGCCATTACAGTGAAAGGCAAATCTCTTCTTCAGAGTCATAGACGTAAACCTAGCCTTCTCCAGCATCTTGGCAATGCCTCCCACGTGCCGCTGCCAGTCACTGCAACACCAGAGTTAATATGACCACACCTGAGTTAAGGTTTTTAGCTGGGGCTAAGCTTTAGTCTACAGCAGCGTCTCTCAACCAGCGAGTTGTGACCCAAAAGTGAGTCGCAAGAATATATGGAAGGGTTGCAAACAAACTTTTAAAAAAGGGTCTCCTTTACAGGGCAAAAAACGTGGGAAACGGTGGGCTTTCCCCTGCCGGCTGGCAGGGCTCCAGCCTGCGAGGGGTTGCTTGGGGTCCCCGTGCCCTACCCACTGGGGCTGGAGGCAGAGGGTGAGGAGTGAGGGGCACGGGGTCAGGACTGGACGTCGATGTTTACAGATGGGTCCTGGTCCAAAAAGGGTGAGAAGCACGGCTCTGTGGGGCTGGGAAATGAGCCACCCGTGTAGGGAGAGAGGCTAGTGGGAATCAGGGAGCCACGCGCGGGAAGCGGAGCTCCTCAGCCCTGCCTGAGGCCGCGGGAGCCCCGCCATGGCCCCGGCCGAGGGTGCTGGGACGGACAGGGCGGCCCCAGACCCTCCCCTGCCCGGCCGGGCACACTGAGGGCGAGGCGAAGCTACGCGCGGGCCCGGCTCCCGCCTCGCTGCAGCGCGGGGAACCAGCCGTCCGGCGCCCGGCCGC